TACCGAGTAAATCAAAAGACATAAATCCATAAATAGGAGTTTGTTAAGAACTCAGGATTAAGATCATCCTATATATGACCATCGGTAGACTCAATTAGAATTTCTATGCTTAACGAAAATTATTAGAAATTCATATTGTGTCTGTGTCCTTGTTCCACATAATCTTATTATGCGAAATACACTCATTCAATATCTCGCTATATTAACAGTGCGGATAACACAGTTCCATTCTAAATGGGAATGACATGTATTAATAATGTTTTAATTAAAGATTCCGAACTTTAATTAAATTCATCATGAACAATGTTTTTTATTATTATCCTTAAACACTATCCTCTCGTATATAACACTTATATACTATGTTTAAGGTTACATAAATAATCATGAAATTTTCATTTGATATTCATAAAATATTCATAAATATATACATATAAAATGATGAATAAACTCTTTTATTAATTAAATAATAAATATCTTATTACATCTCATGCTTCTAGGACACTATTCCCAACAAAAACTTGTTCATTATGAGACGTACTACTAGATTTGTTCATATTTGCAGTCTCTAACAGAACAGTCGACACCTCATCCACAATCAACGTCGTCTTTCCAACTAAAGGTGTAGTCACTAAAGTCTCATATGATTTGGGTAGGGTGGCCAACACAATTACCGATTTATCTTCCTTATCAATTTTGACCTCTACACTTAACAATTGTGTTATGCACTTATTAAAATTATTTATGTGATCCCTAACATCACTTTTCTCATCCATCTTCAACTCATATAATTACTTCTTCAAATATAATCTATTTGTTTGAGATTTCGACATATAAACTTTATCTAATTTTTTTCATAACTAAAAAGGATATGTCTCATTCATAACACTATATTTCAGTTCAGGAGCTAAATTTAAACGAATAGTGCTTACCGCTTTCGCTTCCAATTCTTCCCAATCTTCATCTTTCATAATTTCTGACTTCTTTCCTTACAACTCAAATTTTATCCCGGACATCATATTGGCCACTTTTTTTTTTAATTTTCACCACAACTCTGATACTAGTTATTGGGGAAAAACACACCACTACACTCACGCAGTAGAAAAATAAACTGAAACAAAAATAACATAAAAAATAGAGAAGACGCAGACTTAGGTGGTTCGGAAAAATTTTCTACGTCCATGGAAGAGGGAGAAGAATACACTAATAGCTTCAGAGTTATACACTCATCAAACTTTTTTAATTTCTCTCTACCCAAAACCCTTTATACCCTTGCCTATCTCTCTCTACCCAAAACTCCTTATACCCTTGCATATCTTTCTCCTTACTTTTCTCTCTCATTTTGTCTCTATATTTTTCTCTTAGCACACATAAAGCCTTACACAAAGCATTTATTTATAGACTCCTAATAACTCTTGTCCAAAACATAAAACATCAACTTATAAAAAAAAAACACAAAATTATTACTTTCTCAAAACTAATGTGAGTCAATTATCTAACCAGTTTAGTAGTGTTTTACATGATTTTGTTATGAAGAGGGTAATTGTAATATTGTTCACGTAGAAAGAGGTCTAGATGCTTGGGCTTGAAGAGTTTGACCCTTTTTTTATTTATTTAAATCTTGGTTGCACGCTTGGGAAGCAAACCCAAGGTCAAGGAACAGACAAGGAGGGTTCCAACCGAGGGCTAGATTTGGGGAGTTTCACTGAATTTGGAGTCCCAAGTTTTACCATTTGACTCTCTGTAACTTCCCCATTAAATTCAGAGTACTTACCTTTCTATCCTGCCGATGATTACATGTTCAGCAAAGTTCAGTACGAGAATTATTTAGGTCTCGTTCACTTCGCGGATTCGAGTTTTCAATTCGAGCTGAGACATGATATTTTTCTGAAAGTTTTTCACTGTAGCAGAAAAAGTTAGATATGACATTTTCTGAAAGCTTTTTACTGTAGAAATCTAAAACTAAAAACTTGAATCGGTGAAATAAACGAGCCCTTAAACTAAGCATTCCTAAATTATGTCAAGAGTTAATCTTATTTTGGTTCTCGAAGTTGGGGTGAATTCCATTTTGACTCTGAAATTTAACACACCCTACAATTAGTTCGCGATCTATAAAATTGTCTCACTAAAGTTTTTCTATCAAGAATCCGTTAAAACATGAATGAAAATAACATACTACAATCACACGACATTGTTGTAAATGGCAGTGACAGAGCCAGAATCGTTTGTTATTGAGGGCATAATTAAAAAATAATAAGAATAAAATTGTAGGATTAAACTTTTATGTCTAGTGGGGGCTAGATGCGTATTACTATAATAAATTATATAATTTTGTACATTTTTTTTTAGAAAAAAATAACTTGAGTCGGAGGCTAAACCCTACGTCCTTCCGTCTATATTAAATGTTCACACTAAAGTATCACATAACTGTTACATGTTGTGTTTCATCCGTTTTTTTTTTTTTTTTTTTTTTTACAGATAATTGAAGGATTTTAAAAGGACAATTTTTATAAATCTATCTATAGGACTAGTTTGTGAGCTATTAAATGTCAAAGACGAAAATGAGATTCATCCATAAATCCTGGGACTAACACTTATGTCAAATAAAAAGTGTTTGAGGGCATTTTGAGGAACTTCTAAATTAAACGCTTGAACTCAGTTTCGTTGTTTGAAACCACCCACCTTTCTGCTTTTACTAAAAGCAAGAAATTTGAGGAAACCCATAGTGAGGATTCCGAAGCCAACAAAATCAGAGAAATTTTGACTTATGCATCTGAAATGATGAAAATTCCACTTCGATCTTTGTCCACTTTCGAGTTTCAACTTTCAACCCACAGTAATAATATATAATAACCCCAAACTAACCTCTCTACATTAAGCTTACTTGACCGCCTAAGATGAATCCGGTAACGTACTGGTTTTGTGAAATCTAAGAAAACAATTTTTTTTTTTTTTTTTTTAAGTGAAAGAAAACAAAATCTTGTCAAATGTGATGTATTTCTTGTGCATACGTTCATATGGATAGGAATGTAGCTTTCTAAGGATTTGAGTTTTCTTTTAAGAGATTAACAATATCAAGTGGGATTTAGGTTTATTTTACCCTTTACACATATTATTTTCTCCCCGGCCGTGAATATATATCATTTGTATATTGTCGGTGCTGTTACTTGTATTGTGGAACCCCACGTTAATGGCTAATTACATGGTGATGCAAGGAAAATTCACGCGAAAAGAAAGAAGAAAACAAGAAAAAGAAAGATTAATCAATCAACGCACTAGTATTGAAAAATAAAAAAAAATAAAAGAGGAGTCCCTTTGCAATATAGGAGCAGCAATTTGGATTATGTAACGTGTTTTTATCTATTCAAATAATTGTTTTAGTTTCTTTCCTTTTTTTCCTCTGTTACTAAGAATCGTTTTAGTTTTTAAGTAGACATGTCACCTTTTTAGTAAAAACGTCATTTAAATTGGTATTGTATTAATTTATTGATGGATGTCCACTTAGGTTTATCTGTAAGTTAATAATGATCGCGGTTGTTTCATTTATTTTTTTTCAGAATGATCTATACGTGGTTACTTTCTCTCTTGTTCTTATCAAGATCAAACATTGATAAGAGAAAGAGTACTGTCCCACCTCCACATATGCAGCATGATCATACCAAAAGCAAAAGTCCGAAATATTATTTCGTGAAAAAAAAAAATCTTCACACATTTCACCGACAAAAAAAAAAAGGAAATCTAAATTAAAGACGAAATGAGGAGATTTGACTAATTACACATAATTAGTACACAAGCAATAAATACAAATTAATTTCAATCTAAGAGATCGATAATTTTAGTTTTACCATGCATGTCCCAGTTACAAGGTTTTAATTAGTGGTCACCTCAGTAGACTTTAATCACACGTACGTTCGTTTGGTGGTATCTGATCTTCCAAATCTGACGACTCAATAAGATATTGATTTAATCCGACAAAGTCAGTGGAATAGAAGCTCTGGGGAATGGAATAGAAACGGGATTTTCGGATTCTGAGAAACCTGTATCACTTATAATAATAATTAACATTTAATACACTAACTAGCTATTAGCTAGTCTCTCCCACCAGCTGGTATTTTAATTTGAGCTTTTGTGTTGGAAGTGATTAGTAAGTTTGAGAACCACGTTTCCAAAATAACTATTCAAACTCCCCTCAATTTAAATATTAATCCCCTTTTGAAACTTTGCTTATATTAATATTAATATATATATATATATATATATATGATAATGGGAAACTTAAAAATGGGATTCACAATCCCCATGAACTGCTGATTTAGTAGCTCATTGAGATTCCTCCATTTGGATTAAACAAAACCCAAATGGGGGAATTTCAGGTACAATTATATACATGTGATACAAGCATATAGAATTGTTTTTCTTGACTTGAGTAGGGTTTTCTTCTGGGTAGTTGTATTCTCTTAATGAAGAGCTTAATTTTGCCCAATATTAGAGTCTTCTGATCTAGATATGCTCGCAAAAACACAGCCCTTAAAGTCACCAGAAAAGGCGGCTGATCCTTCGGAGGCCGACCCCTTCTCAGGAAGCATATATTGCCTTCAAACTTAGGGTTTCTCCTTAACTTGTTGATCAATATCTCATCACCAGTTCTTCATTATCTTTTATTCACAAGTACTATTATTACTTATGTTTCTAGGGTTTTGCTGATTTTTCCTAGTGAAAGTTAAACATATAATACCAACAAATTAACTTGTGATTATCTATGGATCATGAAAGATCAAGTACTGATCATAGTACAGATAAAGTGCTTGTCGACGAAGTGATGCTTCCAGGTTTTAGGTTTCATCCAACGGATGAGGAGCTTGTTGGGTTTTATCTCAAGAGGAAGATTCAGCAACGCCCTCTCTCCATTGAGCTCATCAAACAGCTTGACATCTATAAATATGATCCCTGGGATCTTCCTAGTAAGATATACTTCATCATATGCTATTCCTATATATATATATATATATATATATTTATTACTTCGGTTATATATATATATATATGTCTATGTGTGTCATTTCAACTTCTTGATGAGATGAGTTTTTCCTTATTTCTTCATGTATGTATGTATGAATATCTTTGATTTAAAAGAGTTTTTGAAGTCCTTTGCACCAAATCTAACATGCATGCCATTTTCAATGGAGACTAACTAGCTTTTTGTTCCAAAAATTGAATATTATATTAGAGTTGGCGAGTACGGGAGAGAAAGAGTGGTATTTCTACTGCCCTAGAGACAGGAAATACAGGAACAGTGCAAGGCCGAACCGGGTTACCAGAGCTGGGTTTTGGAAGGCCACGGGAACCGACCGGCCCATTTACTCCTCAGAGGGCACCAAGTGCATTGGCTTGAAGAAATCTCTTGTTTTCTACAAAGGCAGAGCTGCCAAGGGCGTCAAAACTGACTGGATGATGCATGAGTTCCGCTTGCCTTCTCTTACCGATCACTCGGTTCCTTCATCGAAGAGATCACTGGACAAAAGCTTTCCAGCTAATGTAATGTGCCTTACAAAAACACATATCTCATAATACTGTTTACTAGTGTTAATCAAACACAGATTCACGCGTCAACTCTGAATCTCTATAGTTACACTTAAAACTCGCCTAGTTTTGTATGACTTGCGATATCTTGTATTTTTCGTTGTATATATTCTTAAACTTTGTAGTTCATTGGACTTGCAGGATTCATGGGCAATCTGCAGAATATTCAAGAAAACCAACTCAACAGCTCAAAGAGCTCTTTCTCATTCTTGGGTCTCTCCCTTACCAGAACCAATTAGCTCATCTGATCATATTTTGTTTGCCAAACCCACAAATAACAGTCAGTTTAGTTCAGAGACGAGCATTAATATGTCGCTCACACCAAGAACCAGTACTCCTACTTCATCAGCCAACTATTTTGGTAGCTCTAACAACGACATGCAAAACTCATCCCCCAATAGTACTACTACCACTTTCTCTCCCGTTGACTTTGTCCCCTACAAACCCTATTGCGCAGACTATTCTCCTAACTTGCTATTTCCACCTCTTCAAACTACTTCTGGAGTGCAAGCTGCAAATGACAATATTACCCCTTCCATGTTGTTGAACATGTCTTCCATTCTTGGAAACAATCATTTTGGTTGTAGTAGTACTTCTAAGGCTTCTCATCATGAGGATCATATAGACTTGATCAGTGGACTATCATCAGTACAAGAACACTGTAATAGTAATGGCTTCTCGTATGATCATATACTACAAGAAAATCTAGGCAATAATATTATCGGTACTTATGATCATATGATCAAGAATCACTCAGAAGCTCATCATGATCAGTGGGAGGCTGTTAGATCCCTTGGATTTCCCTTCAATTTGCCTTTGCCTTTGAGTACCGTCGTGGCGGATCCGTGGAAACCGAGCATGATTTGGGACTCTTTGCCATGTCCAACTGAAATGTCCACAAATTTCCCCACTACCAAATGCTATACTTAGTCCAAGAGCTAGCTAGAGATATGCAGATTATGACAGAAAGCATTGTTTTTGTAGCTTTGTTTATTTAGTAATTAGTTTTTGCAGAAAGTTTCTTTTGTTTGTATAATGATCCTTTTGTGAGGCCGCAGGAGAAGCTAGCGTGGTCAATGAAATAGAATGTGAACTCTGGTTTACGGAAATCAAAGCTTTTGACTGACTCTGTCAATATGGTGCATATGATGTTTTATATGTTTTTATTTTATTTTTATTTGAAATCGTGCATATTATGTATACTTGTATGTGTATGTGTGAAAAACACGACAAAATACATATTAAGAGTTAAGATTCAAGGAGTAGGACAGGAAGGACTTGTGCTGAAGAGAATAGACAGTCACATCAGTTACGATTGTCCTTTATATAAATAGGGCCCGTTTAGTTCGTTGATTCGAGTTGAGATGTGATTTTATATGAGAGTTTTTTACTGTACTAAAAAAGTTAGATGTGACTGTTTCTAAGAGTTTTTACTGTAGCAAAACTCAAATTATAAACTTGAATCGGTGAAATAAACAGGGTAATATTCTCTCAACTTAATAATGAGGCATTTAAACTCTACACCTTGTGATAGAGTTAGATGTGGAATTAGTGTTAGGTTATATCTGCAACCACAATATTGTCGTTAGTAGTTTTATGATTTATATTTTTTGGTATTTGTTGGCAACACACATATGTGAAGTTGTGAATGAAGATGAAGCACTATTTTCATCAAGTTGTTAGATGTTTTACTTTAGTTTTCTTTTAACATTCGTTCCCTCAAAAATTGACTAATAGACAGTAGCTACTTTGAAAAAGAGATGCATATAGTAAATGCTTATGTTCAATTGTAATACTTGGCACAATTGTTATTTAGTGGGTACCAACTCAGTTGGATGTGTTGCTCCTCTATCTCTCCATTTATTATTACTATTATTATTTTTTTAAAATATGCTTAACCGAATTGAATAATAAAAAAAGTTGTTATAGATCGTTATGGCGCAAGCATTGGCACTACTAGATTGGCCATGCGTATTCTGAAATGGTTAATGCACCCTCTCTCTCTCTCTCTCTCTCTCTCTCTGTCTCTCTCTATAATTATGAGTCAGGACGTATATAAAATTACGACATTAATGCACTTTTTCTTGGTCCAAAAAGCTAGTAAGAAGGTATTGGTTAGTTATCTATAACCTATTTGATTAGTTAGTTCATTTAAGCTGATTGCATCACTAGATAAAATTGAAACAAAGAACATTGTTTAATCAATAATTTTATTTCTGCCACAAATGTTCAATGCAGCATCTGCCACAATTTTCCTTCTCAAAAAATGCTTGAGGTGGGAACTTGGCTACCTGCAATAAAAACTAAAAAGAACATACCAGCTTATCTGGTAGAAGACTAGCATGGTGATAACTGATAATATCTTTCCTTTCATTTTAGTCAAGCGTTTTCTCAACTAGAAGAAAATACACGTTAAGCATTTGGAAATGGTATCCACGGATCTTGTCATCCGGCCAAGCATTTTGCAAGAAGTGAACCCTGCCACGAATTATAGTTTGAGCCTGAGTTACCCTCTCAAGAAAATTCATTTTATCAATATCATCCCTTCCTCTACTTGTTTGATGGGTGTTGTTCTACCGTGCCTGAATGCGATATGTTCGCGAACTTGAACGATGGACTTGTGGAATAAACAATATACTAGCAAATCCTAAAGGGTTTTTTGCATTGGTGTTGGAATAGTAAAATAGAACAATATACTTGCAGACCAGCATTCACACGGCGAATTAGATCTCTGCCGCCCTAGAACAACCTCTGATAAGGACCTTTTCGGCTTTTCTAAAAGAGGAATCGTGTTATAGCCAGCAAAAACCATTACTAGCTGGTACTCTGTGAGTTGCAGATAAACGCCTCCGAAATATACTGGAACAGATTTTCAAAAAGAGAGGAGAAAGGTAAGAGCAACTGATTTGGTATTTTACACAAAGCAATTCCAAGATGAGTTGATTCCAACACGGTACCACCAACTGATGAACAAATAGAAAAGTGGATTTTCGACAAATGAACCACTAGAAATCACAATTTAAACCATCCAAAGCAAAATTTAAAGAAACCAAGTCGGAATGACATCCTAATAGTTTGTTTTCGCCATCATATAGCCAAAATTACACTATCAGTTTATCTCAAACTTAGCTCTTTGAGGCTTGCTTTTCCTTTGCCTTCTGAATCTTCAACACCTTTTTCACAATCTTTTGCTCTTCCACCAAAAACGCGCGGATGATCCTGCACAATAGGAAAAACAAACACAGGCTCAACAAACAGATGAGTAACTCGAAACCAGTAATTCCTAAATGTTATTCAAGAACAAACATACCTTTCTCTGACAGCACCACCAGAAAGCACTCCACCGTAGGCACGGTTGACGGTCCTGCGGTTCCTGGATAATCTGGACCTCTGGTATTCAGCCGGTCTCAAGTGGGGAATCTGCATAAACATAGCCAGAATGAAAAGTTGAATCAAAGATGCAACTAAACTAGCCGTTTAGTATACTGAGTAACTGAGGACAAGGTCGACTACCACAAACCCAAAACCCAAAAAAAAAAAAATGCTGAGGACAAGCTCATCCATATCTCATAAGGCTACTGCTTTTGGAGAACGTGAGTAGATTAAAGTGTACGCTTACCAAAAATAAGGTGGGCAGTAAATAGAATATCACAAAGAAACCCAAAGTGCATTCTAAACTTAAGAATTCTAAATGGGACCCTTGTACTCAAATCAAATGTAATATTCTACTCACAATTTTTAAACAACAGAATTTGAAATTTTGAACATGATTTCCACCTACTAATACTCATCCTAATTATGTCCATCTGCTGATAATTAATTATCTAAAAAAAATTTGCTATTGACTAACCCACCCTATCCACATAGATATACCATTTCTTCAGTAATGCTGACTGCTAACTTTTTCCAAAAAATTCACACAACTATTTTCTCATAGCATACACAATTATAAATTCCAGTTACTTTCACACATTGCTCAGAGAAACCGCCAATCATGCCAATTGGTGTAAACAAAAAGAAAATTAAAGCAGACCCATTAACGTAAAAGGAAACCTAATGCGATTACCACAATTATAAGCAACATTTCATTTCAGCTAAACAACAACTACAGAGAAAACAGAGAGAAAAATGAAAAGCATACCCCTTGAATTCTCTTGCCAGTAACAGGACATTTAGGCCCACTTGCTCTCTTCTTAGTAGTCTGATAAACTAGCTTCCCTCCTAATTAATCAAACAAACAAACAAACGAATAGATAAATCACAGTCTCCGAATCATATATAAGGCTAAAATCACCATCTACAAAATACCCAGAAAATGAAATCCACAGATGAGGCCCCAAGGAGCAACATTTTTAGAGTAAGAAATGCACATGTATGTATATATGTATATGTTTTGTATATTACCAGGGGTTTTGACGATTCTGTGCTGGTTAGATTTGGTGGCGTAGCTGTGGCGCTTGCGGTAAGTGAGACGCTGAACCATCTTGAGCTGATCGTGTCTGTCCCTGTTTCGGTATTAGGGTTTTAAAGCGATAAAGACCAGAGAGAGTTTTGCTTACATATATTACAATGATTGCTAATCAAAAGCATATGGGAATTTCTTGGCCGTTCGTTGCCCTAGATCGGAGGGCCGTAACCACGTCTTGCATGACCTTCTTCCGTTCGGGAAAGCCCACTTGAGGCCCAGTCAAAAGCCCAACGAGGAAACACAATTGAGAAAGAGAAAAGAGCTTATACAAGAAGTATACCACTTTCATTTAAAAAAAATATATTCAAGAAGTATACCGCTGTTTAAGAGAGAGAAAGAGAAAAAAAAACCGTCAGTTTTTAATCTCATAAAAATTACGGGCTCGTTTAATTCGCTGATTCGAGTTGAGATGTAACTTTATGTGAGAATTTTTTACTGTAATAAAAAAATTAAATGTGAATATTTATGAGAGCTTTTTACTATAACAAAACTCAAATTCTAAACTCGAATCGATGAAATGAATAGAGCATACACCTTCAAATTACAATAAATAATATATCTACATTATTTTTTAGTATTTTGACTTATGAAATAACCAAATTGTTTTTAGAGGGAATTTATATACGAGGTATATCCCTGTTTTGGAAAAGTTTTGCGATCTCCTTCTAAGGATAATCTAGTCACAAGTTAAAATTTAGTTTTGAGAGAAAAAATATAGATTTATGTATCAACTATAATTTAATGATATATTATTGAAAAGATTAAAACTTAATGGTATATTTTCTAAATAAACATATAATACATGATATAAAAAGATAGATAACCCTACATATAAAAGTAAAATTTTACTAGTCACGTAAAATATACTGAGTAAAAAGATTCAAAACATATAAAATGCAGTTAAACGCAAAAGAAATAAAATATTTTACAGACAACATAAATTAATATCATTAAATTGATTTTTGTGTCATTTTACAGAATAAATATGATTTTTATTAAATAAATTATTATGTATTCTTTCCTATTCAAGTCAAATCATGTTTATTTTGAAATACATATTTTTAATTAATTTATATCAAATATTCTTATTTATTAATTTATTGTACTAATCCATCTCAAATAATATTAAAAATTAATGAACTAAAAATTTAAATTAGATAGATATTAGTTTTATAACTTTGAATTTTTTCATTGTTTTTTTAATTTGTTTACTTTTATCGATTTTTAAAATTTTATACCTCCAATTTTATTGTTCTAATCTTATTCGCATTAATATCAAGGTTTTCTACCTTCCTATTTTATTGCTCTATGCTTCTTCGCATTAGTCTTTTTAGAAAATTATTGAACTTAATTTTAGAGTGAATGGGTATGTATTTTAAACTTTTAATTTTAATTAATACCATTTTATCTAATATAACTATTTGATCAAAAAATGATATTAATTAAGAGTAAATGATGAAATTCTAAACTCATACACTTTAGGAGAATTGCCAAAAATACCATCAATAAAATAATACTATTATATTTTTGCCACTATTTTTAAATTTATCTTATGCCACTAATAATCTACATGTTATCTTTTTATAATTTGCAGGTTATTTTTCGTAACCTACAAGCTATTACTTTGTTTATTACAGGTTATTTTCCGTAGTGCATTAAAATTTTATATAGTGTCATAAATAATAAAGTTAAAAAAATAATAATTAAATTTAAATTTTTCTCTACACATTAAGAGATATTTATCTCCTTTCATCCAAACTTTTTATTAAAAACTTTGCTCGATCTAAAAGATTTATGTGCATCAATAATTAACAATTATGTACTTCAATAACTAACAATTCACGCATTGAGGCATATGCAATTTTGTTTATTCATTAAATTTTTATAAAATTACTAAAAACAAGTACAATTGTAAAAAATTGTGATTATCACCTTTATATAGGAATAGCTAGTGGAATTTTGTTATAATTTTAGGATTTTATTTTGTTATTAATTGGTTATATTCTTCAACCAAAATTTTAAGAAAATAATAACAAATAATAAAAATAAAATTTCTTTATTTTGCTGAAAATAAAAAGAAACTATTACTGTTAATCGGTTACTTGCTTCCACCAAAGTTCAAAACCCTATTTTTTTTTTCGTATTTTTCCTATTAATCATTTACTTCAATTCCCTGAACCATCGGATGCTTTTAAACGAACGGTCATGATTGAATAAACATTTTAACAGTTGTCGTGAATCTCATCCGTCCAGTTGTATCAATATGCCATCTTCCCTGAACCATCGGATGCTTTTAAACGAACGGTCATGATTGAATAAACACTTTAACAGTTGTCGTCAATCTCATCCGTCCAGTTGTATCAATATGCCATCGTTGCCGTCCAATTTCTCATTTTTAATCCGTTTCATATTCTAACCCTAGATAGAAGTTAGAACAAGCCTTCTCTTCAACAGCGAAACAGCAAGCTCTAGGGTTTACCCGCACGTCTCCGCTCGTCGGCTCTTGTTCAGGTGCACCCAAAAACCCATTGTCGTTTAACAAAGCTTCTCTTCTTTGGAAATAATCACCCTTTTTATCTGAAATTTTATATTTTCTCCCATGTTTTTTTTCCTTTCATACATGATTTGAATTCGTGAAAATTTGGGGTTTTCTTTTCTGTTATTGGTGCGAATATTGAAGATTTTTTGTTTTTGTTTTTTAGTTTTTGAATTTTCTTACTCGCCAAACAGCGGGGAATGAGCTCCCTTTACTGGTTAATTATAGTGTGAGAAACTCATTTTGTTCACTTCTAGTGTTCATTTTGCTTCACTTCTGTGTATTGCTTCATTTATTTATTTATTTTTCCCGTAATGAGCATTATTTTTCACATTTCTGTTTTCTTTCTTTATGCCTGTGATTTTATGAGGAGTTTTGAGTTATAAATGTATTGGGTTTTCTAGAAAAGAGGCACAACACGCTTTACTAATGGAATTTCTTAAGTTAATAGATTGAAATTAGATTCTCGAGTCATCTGTCGTTTTACTAACGTTCACCCTTCAGAATACGAAGCTCTCAGCTTGTAAAACTGTTTGTAGATTCCAAAGTAGATATTCCTTCTTATGTTTTCTTGGGCGTCCTTGCCTTTTTTTTTAATTATTAATTTAGGCTTTGCAAGATGTTTACTTCAAGGAAGAAGATTCACAAGGACAAGGATGCTGAAC